CCCCCCCACCCTCTCAAAATAGGTGGCCCTGCGACCGGAAATAGGTGCCACCACAGGTTACCCCCCCCCGGTCCCACCTATTTTAAGGGGGTGGTGCTGAGGCATTCATCACCGGCCATGGCACCCGGAACGCACACGTCCTGTCTCATCCAGTAGCACAAGAAGCTTGGGACAGTGCGAAGTTCCAAAAGTCTTGACGTTTGAGCTGGTGAGCTAATGACGCATCCATGCCGAATGACAAGTCTTTCCGGCAGGGTCTAATCGCAGTCGACTCTCACAAATCGAGGCAAAGCTCTGTCCTGGCACCGGAAAGCGAAGTCTCCGCAGGGGCAAGCATCGCTCTCGTTCGCACAGGTCTGCCGCACGCCCAACAGCTCACCAGTGCTTCTGTTGTAGTCCTCGGCTGCACGGTGCAAGGACGTACGAGTCACCAAGAGCTTGTGATTGCAGCTTCATACTACTTCGGACAGGAACAGACGTGGGGGAACAGGACGTGGAGGGGCCGTGACATGCTGCAACTGTTTATAGGCTATCAGCAAGCGGTGTTCCGTCTTCTCGAAGAAGCGTAGGTATTCATGGGTTCGGGCTGAGCGCCTCCGAAAAGTCCGCTCAGCTGCTGGTCTGGTCTACGCGAGTCTGGGGAAATATCCCCAGAAGAGCTAAGGTATCGTGGAGAGTGCAAAGCATTGGTGTTGGGGGGGACAGGGCTCGTTGGACCGAGGCACTGCGATGCTGCAGACCTGCAAGGACTCTAGAGCCAGAGAGGAGCAGGTAGAACAAGGAGAGGAATGAGAGAGCGAGAGAGAAAGAGAGAGAGACAAACAGCCAGGCAGGCAGACGAGCAAGGCAGCTGCAAGCAAAAAGGCTTCGGCTTGCCTTTGAGCAGGTGAGCGGACAGTTGGTAGCGGTCGGGAAGCACTCGTCGCGCTTCAGCCTCCGCTGAAGCCACCAGAAAGTGAGGCACACAAACCTGGCGGCTAAGCCAACGGCCCATCGGTGTCCTTGGCCAGCACTGGCTGAACTCCCGAAGGCTGCATATCCGATTCCCGACTAGTTCGAGCCACGCGGCAGTCCAGCTGCAAGGCTTTGCGTTCTCCCCGCAAGCGCACGGCCTCGCCACGCCGGGGATCGGCAGCCGCTCAAAAGAGCGGAGAGAGCACAGCACCACACAGCACCCTCTGATTTTGGCCGCACTTGGCTTGGCCCCGGGCTGGGAACGATCGCTGCACTGGGTCTGGAGCTCCTGGAAGGCGCCTGCTGCAGCTGCGATCGCGCGCCGTAAAACAGGCTTTGTGTTGAGGTGAGGCTTTCTGCCCTTGGTTGCCGCAGCCGATGCCTTCCGGTGTGAAGGATGCCGACAAGCACAGCCGGCTGGTGCTGTCGCAAGAGGTCGGGCAGTCTTCCGTTGCCTGAGAGACAAGTGCAGACCGGATCGTGAAGCATCGACTGGCGTCTGCTTCGGCCACAACATCATACAACATCAACATGTGTTGTGCGATGAGCTGTGATGAGGCTGCCGGCTGCCCAGGCACTGCCACGCAGCTTGCACCCAGTCGGGAGTCTACACAGCTCAAAGCGTTGCGGCCGCATGGGCAGGGCAGTTCCGTCTGCAGAACGCCTGAAAAAGGTCGGAAAAAGACTGTGCGAAAAATATCTTCACTCTGGACTTTGCTGCGGCGGAGCTGCATTGGAGCGAGTCCTCCTGGCGCTGGCCCGTTGCGTCGAAGTTCTCCTCAGGCAAGGGCGCAAAGGCGATCGAGACGATCCCGCAGTGCCGTGAGCGGATATATGACAAAGTCGATGACCCCGGGCGCTCCAGGTAGCATTCGACCTCACCCGGCCCGCACACCAATGGGCAGTCGTCGGCGATCGGCAGGCAGAACTCCTCACCTTGCGGCCCATTGCACCTCGAAGGCAGTTTAGCCCAGTGACGCGTGTGTTTGACATCCAACTTCTGGCGAGCAGCTTCCGTGCCGTGGCCGACTCGCAGAGCACCGGGCACGGGGCGGAGAAGCAGACATCTTTCAGAATCCTCCAGCCGTGATGGGCAGTGTCCAGTTCTAGCCTACGGATGCGGTGAGGATCAAGTTGCCTGGCGCCATCTTGGAAGGAGACTGCGGCGCAAACGTCCTGACCCTCTTCGCAGGATAGTTGGCCCTGGCAAATCAGAGCGTGCAGCAACACAAGAAGTTGGCAATCTGTGACGTGCAAGCCTCAAGTGGTTCAGGAGGGGCCCGACAGTAGCGAGTGATGATTGTACCAAGAGGGACCAAGTAAAGCACGCACATGGCACTGTGCTTAGCCAGTGCCCTAGCTTAACAGAACATGCGAAGCATAGACAGCGCGCCTCGCTGGATGACGTCGACGACGTGGTGGTCGCTGTTGCCTGCCCAAGTGCACCCAACAGAGAAAGAGAAAGATAAAGAGGCAGAGAAGAAAAGAGAGAGAGAGAGAGAGAGAGACAGAGAGAGAGCGAGAGAGAGAGAGAGCGAGAGACAGAGCGACAGGTGCATGGAATGCACCGCAATCTAGACTCTGGGGCAGTGGAAGCTGCGATGGATGGCCAGCGCGCCTCGCTAGATGACTTCGACGATGTGCTGGTCGTCGTTGTCTGCCCGGACTCAAAAGACAGGGCTCTCTCGGTGTCTCCGGGAAACGAACTTTGGCCGCACACAGCATTTACAACTAGTCCAAACCTAAAGATGCACCCTCCAATGCATCAGCGACAGGGAATTCATCCGTCACAACCCTCGTTGTCACCAAGAATTGCAAGTGCTCTCTCCCTTTACTAGAACCTGGAATCCAGACTTAAGCCAAACGCCGAGATGGCTTTGCTTGTGAATGGTAGTGGGCACCAAAAACAATGGCGAAAAGAGATTCTTATCCTCGGCGTCGGCCCAAGTACGGACCAGAAGAGGTCTCAAGCCAAAATTAAACAACCACCACACTTCTCAATGTAAGTATTCGTTCCTGCTTAGATCCCCAGCATGTCAGGCTGCCGCTGCGCTTCTTCATCGAGGCAGACGAGAGAGAGAGAGAGAGAGAGAGAGAGAGAGAGCCTGAGTGGAGAATTTGTTGGGCCCTTTTTGTTTTTTCCATGTTCATCTAGATCCTATGAGAAACTATAGTTCACAAAAAATCAATACTGTAGGGCACTGTAGGGTCTAGGCAGAAGCACTTTTTTACCGATTGCGCGGGCGATTGCCAGTGAGTGGCGGGTTTAGAGCACGCTTAGGGTTTAGAGAGCGAGAAGAGAGAGAGGAGAGAGGAGAGAGAGAGAGAAAGAGAAAGAGGCAGGGAAAGAGAGAGACAGAGCCAGAGAGAGAGATCACAAGCATGGCGTGCACCACAATCTAGACTCTGGGGCAGTGGAAGCTGCGATGGATGGCCAGCACGCCTCGCTAGATGACTTCGACGATGTGCTGGTCGTCGTTGTCTGCTCGGATGCAAAAGACAGGGCTCTCTCGGTGTCTCCGGGTAACGAACTTTGGCCGCACACAGCATTTACAACTAGCCCAAACCTAAAGATGCACCCTCCAATGCATCACGGACAAGGAATGCATCCGTCACAACCCTCGTTGTCACCAAGAATTGCAAGTGCTCTCTCCCTGTACGAGAGCCTGGAATCCAGACTTAAGCCAACGAAGGCTTGCTGACCCAGGCCTGAGTCGTCCCCGTCTGAGTGGTCGTGCTGCTGGTGGTGACGGTCTGCACGCCGAGATGGCTTTGCATGTGAACAATGGCGAAAAGAGATTCCTATGCTCGGCGTCGTCCCAAGTACGGGCCAGAAGAGGTCTCAAGCCAAAATTAAACAACCACCACACTTCTCAATGTAAGTATTCGTTCCTGCTTAGATACCCAGCATGTCAGGCTGCCGCTGCGCTTCTTCATCGCTTCAGACGAGCGAGAGAGAGAGAGAGAGAGAGAGAGAGAGATAGAGCGAGGGAGGGAGGGAGGGAGGGAGAGAGAGAGGGAGAGAGGGAGGAGAGAGAGAAGAGAGAGGAGAGCGAGGAGAGAGAGGAGAGAGGAGAGAGAGAGGAGACTGGAGAGAGAGAGAGAGAGAGAGAGAGAAAGAAAGAGAGAGAGAAAGAGAAAGAGGCAAAGATAAAGAGGCAGGGAAAGAGAGAGACAGAGACAGAGAAAGAGATCACAAGCATGGCGTGCACCACAATCTAGACTCTGGGGCAGTGGGAGCTGCGATGGATGGCCAGCGCGCCTCGCTAGATGACTTCGACGATGTGCTGTTCGTCGTTGTCTGCCCGGACGCAAAAGACAGGGCTCTCTCGGTGTCTCCGGGTAACGAACTTTGGCCGCACACAGCATTTACAACTAGCCCAAACCTAAAGATGCACCCTCCAATGCATCACGGACAAGGAATGCATCCGTCACAACCCTCGTTGTCACCAAGAATTGCAAGTGCTCTCTCCCTTTACGAGAGCCTGGAATCCGGACTTAAGCCAACGAAGGCTTGCTGA